GTCGTCACGTGGCCACGCACGCGTCGTGTCGTCACGTGGCCACGCACGCGTCGTGTCGTCACGTGACCACGCACGCGTCGTGTCATCACGTCACGTGACCACGCACGCGTCGTGTCGTCACGTCATCACGCACGCGTCGTGTCGTCACGTGACCACGCACGCGTCATGACGCCACGTCGCCACGCACGCGTCGTGTCGTCACGGAACGTCACCGCGCACGCGTCGTGTCGTCACGGCGCGTCACCACGGCGCGTCACCACGCACGCGTCACGTCGTCACGGCGCGTCACCACGCACGCGTCACGTCGTCACGGCGCGTCACCACGCACGCGTCATGTTGTCACCGCTGCAAGGTTCCGGCGTCCTGTAACGCTTACCCTATTTGTGTTTATCAGAGGGCGAATACATAAGTTGGCTTTGACGGGCATCCGTCAGGAAATGACCGGACGCTTACACTCTGGTGGTCCTCGTAAAACTACGCCATTAAATCTCCCTCCATCGAGTTTCGATCGTATTTAACGTCAGCGCCGTCGGTGCGCCGCCGTGGCCCCGACGGCATTTCAGTGAAGCTTTAACAGAGCGATAGAAATCGTGTGCATTCGGTGTGTGAAAGGTTTTCGGTATCTCGATAGCTGTATTGTTGATTTCGATTACGGAAATCGAAACACCGTTGTCGTTCTTGCATTGTCCGTTATTCTATATATCGGGAATCGATGATGACATTCGGATGAATATTGTGTCCGTTTATTGTATACTAATGTAATCATGCGACTAAATGTTTATTCGATACTTGTGCATGCGCTGTCGTCATTGTTGTAGTCGTAGTCCTATTTTAATTACACCCGCACCCGCATACGAGATTTTATATAGAGAAAGCAGTGGGTCGGGGAGTTTTCTGTTCGTTGCACCTGAGTTACGGTGGAATGTAGTCCTTTTAAAGGATAGTAATTATGTAAGGGAGTGGCTGGCGTGAACCTGCCCGTCGCACGACGAAGCGTGGGTAAGGAGGCGGTTATTCGTCAAATCGCCTATCGCTGTTTCGTCTAGTAAGACCGTCGTTTCTGTCATCGTCGACAACGACCGCGTGGCGGAACGACGCGGGATTGATCCTGGGGGGAGAGACGACGACGATCGCGGAATCGATCGCGGAGGTTCGAATCGCCGGGGCTGTCTGTCGTGTCGTCTGTCGCTAGGATACGTCTCGTCGTTGTCGGTCGGAGTATCGGTAGAAGAACGGTCTACCTCCGCATGCGTCCTCGACAGTCATAGGTCGTCCGTTTGACAAGACGTTGGTCGATCCAGAGCATTAAAAACTGCAGACGTGTTTGACAGCGCGAAGCCACGGGGGCCTACTGTCGGTGAATTTGGAACTTTTTACCTGTATTAGGTGAACTTTTCCGACATATAAAACATCTAAACGTGTGCTGGAGAGCTCCCCAGCTGGCGCCACATGTCTCAGATCCTATCTATTCTACAAAAAGTCTTACTACCAACTCGACACTAACACATTAACACACTGTACACTATAACAACTCGGTTACAATACGCACGTACGAACAATTGCTACACGATTGGCTCGAAAAACAAGCACAGAACTCCCGACTTCCCATGTCACGCGTCGGTTAAACAGGACAATAGATAACCTCCTATGTTTGTCTGAGTGGAGAAATTATATTGTAAATATTCATGATATTGAAATGTTTACAGGTTGCCTACATTCTCGTTCTCCTGTCGCCAACATGTCGGCACGCCACCTGGTGGGGAATTATGTCGAGGTGTCGCGTAGTTAGCCGGGGTTAAATAATCGACCTGTCTGCCTGCTGTGATTGAGACATACAGCCCTAGCCAATTGGTGTTGCGATGGGACATTCTAAAGACAATGCTGACCGATGAAGTTACGCAAAGTTTGACATTTTATCGTGTAGACCTGAGAAACTCTTCTAGCTTCACCGACCTAGCAACAGTATCTAAGGGGCATGGTTATTTCGCTCAGGCAGATGGGTCCGTTACACACAGACAAATACGTTAGCCTGAAATTCGAAACGATACAGATGAAATAACGTTGACGTAGGTTACTATTATTTACACGCGACTATGATTTGTTGACGAGACATTCCCCCTCGGACTAGCAAGGCATCGGGCATCTTACTCCCCCTGTTCCTAGATGAGTGCATGTCAAACTATTCATTCTTATTAAGTGTCGTTTTAATAAATAACAGATGTGAACAAAATACGATGTTTGGCAGTCCGTGCAATATTTGTGTGTTCCGGGAACGTTTTGGCAGAATACAACACTACAGTGCAGACGTAGGGAGGTGGCAGTGGTGTTGCTGCTCTTACCGTCGCCATCTGCTGGGGGAAATAGTAAGTTGTAAGCGCACAGTGTTGGCACTGTGTGTAATTGTCACTGTAACGTCGGGGTGACGGCCATACCAAAGAAATACATCAACAAACGTGATAAAATACAATACGCAACATGTTACGCGGTGATACGGCTAATTATATGTATCATAAATATTTATATTCCAGTGATAATGGAAGCCATCAGGGCTTGAATGTCACTAAAGCTTGACTCTGCGTGCGACGGCGTGCGATGGAACAAAATCGCCGAGAGAAAGTTTGCCGTCAATTAGAATGCTTTGCGATGGTTTCATCTCGTGGTCTCATACGTTTGTAATGCCCGTTCGTTCGGCCTGCTCGAGTGATCCTTGCAAATTCAGGTCAAACAATTCGCATCTGAAAACAGAAAATCAACCACAATGGAACATAGATTTTGCACAGTAAAAACATAAATCGACCAAACTATTTATACACCGTATTAAACTCCAAACGGTGCATTGAAATAGATAATTTACTTGCACAAAAAAAGGCATTTTACTGAAAGGGTTAATTATAAGACTTGTGAATAGTTGACTCATACGCTTACCTTATAGGCATGTCTATAGAGTAGAAGGGATTCTTTAATGCATAGTCTGCGTAGATTTCGTGAATCTTTTTTAGCAACGAATCAACCGCCGGTGCCTTTGGGTCGGCCAACACAATGAATTTCACACCTGCAATGACACCGAACAGTCTGCTATTAAACTGCAAGAAATCAATATCAACAAATTAAAACTAAAGACCTACCTATGAATGTGAAAATGCATTGATATTACAATATTCTATGACAAGTTGAATCATTTTTCATTGTGACATGTATTTTACATGCATATCTAGCTGTACCAATGCGTAACGTACATGCCCTAGTAGTTTTGGGCACATTTATTAATATATTTTACTTGCCCACGTTACACCAATGTTACAGTAACAATACGCGCTTTCACTATTTCTCCCGATAGATGGCGCCACAATGTCACATCTGACTCCAGTAACAGCATTAGCAATTTCAACATTCTCGGTGCCCAAAAAATATTGCAATAGCTCGTGTGTTGTCAGGGGCGTAGCCAGTATGTAGCACTGTAGGCCGGGCCTACACTTTTTTGGCCAAGTTACCTTTTTTTTAAAAACACCCATAATTCAAATCCATAAGCTTGCTGGACGAGTTTAAGAGTCTAGGCAGGAAAAACTATTGAAATGAACGTAGCAAGAATATGGCTAAATTAAGTGACCTATTCTTCTGTCAATCTAGGCTGTCATTCTATCGTGTGCCGTTTCATTCAACACTCTACCCGCCCCGCCCGCGAAAAGACTAGGATCCGATCTTGTCAGTTTTTAACATTTTACTCGTTCGTAACACTATTTTAACTCGCTTGTGTTTTTGGGTTAAATAGTGATATTGAATTAGGTCTCTCAAGTTAGCAAGAGGTGCGCCCCAGAATGAACAGCTCGGAAGGCCGTTTCCGGCCATCTGGGGGGTTTGTAAAACCAAAAATTTTCTGTGGCGCTCCGCGCCAACCGATGGTGGCGCTCCCTCAGATAGTCGTGCCTACAACTTTGAAAATCCTGGCTACGCCCCTGGTTGTAACAAACAATTTGATGCCTTCGCTGCATTACATGATGACAAATAATAAAAAATAGCAGCAGTCATAAATTAAAAAACGAATTGAACCAATTTTCACAATGTTATTTACCTGTTAACGTTTGGTAGCAATGCAATTTAAATCCATCAGTCTCTAGAACCTCAATTCCAGATGATTGCACTTCTGGTGACAATTGGTGGCCGATAGCAAATAATCTAAAACAGTAAACATTCGTCATTGACGGGACTTCGGCTTTCTGATTTCGTTTTTTTGTCATCGATCTGTCATGACCTATACACAAGAGATATAATACCACAATCAGAATTACTTGCAAATGCAAAGCATCTTTGCAGGTAACCGATATACACGTGTTAGTGAAAGGAAACCTGTTAATAATGTTATACATCATTTTTAACTGCGAAGTATCGTCGCACTCACGAGTGGAACATGCTTGCGAGCATGATCTTCTCATTCGTTCGCAACTTTCGTCTGCCGAACTTGATCGATATCGGATAGTTTGCCTCGTTGCCAATGATGTCCAGCACCTCCTGTCCGTCCTCTAGCCGCGTGCCGCTCACTGTCTCACCGTTAACGGCGATCACTGTGTGACCAACTACACGCACAAACACACACACAAACGTCATGAGTTAGCGTAGTGAGAAAGCGAGATTCGACCCACACACACACACACACACACAAATGTGAACACAAGGGTCACAACAAGTGAGATTCAACACGAAATTGCTCGGAATTGATATTTATACGATTATTAATAATATTTTATTCATCATGTGACAACTGAACTGGTGTGGTGGTCTTTGACCTAAAAAACAATTGTCACCCTGTTACTATGAAGCTATATAAAATAACGATGCATGCTGTTACATTGCGTTTTCTTTTACAATTACATTTACCACAAGCTCGAAATTCATTGATAGTTATCAGATTGTGACCAATGGCAATGGCAGGGGTCAAAATTAGCGGTATCCTGATATCCGCGAGATAGTAGATTCTTGTGTTGGATACCAGATTTCAATGCTTGTATCCGCCGGATAGTAAAACAAAATTTGTCAAATCGGGGATAGTGGTGTGTTGGTTATCAACTTTATACGGCAGCGCATGCTGAGGCGAGTGCGCGCGATCTGAGCGGGCTCAGGCACCGCTTCACTATGCCACACTAGCGTTATAACAGCAGGCATAGCATATTTCAAGCGCAAGCGTGGCAGATGTTGATCATAAATGTGATGTGTATCCATTGTATCAAGCGAACCAGACAATGCGTCTGCAGTGTACTTGTTTGTGCATATCTGTGAATATGTTTTATGTTTTTTCTATAATAATTACTTACATATTAATAATTTTCAAATGCTATTATTGCATATTTTCAAGATTTTGGATACCAACATTGTTTGAAATTACTTCTAAAAAATGGGATACCAGATCTTTGGGGGTTACCAGATTTAAAATACCTGGTATCCAAATGGATACCATAAGAAAAATCGAATTTCGACCCCTGATTATGGCAATGCAAAGTCAAAGGCGCGTGCGGCTCATAGGGTCTATGTCCCCCAGGGTACTGCCGGAACGTACCCTGGTAACTACTCTGATATGGTTAGGGTTACTGGTTAGGGTTAGGGTAGCCCGACCAGGCTGTGCGACGGATTGTCTATACAATGGTTACACATTGGTCTTACATTGGTATTGTAACCTTAGCAATACCGTTTCTTGGAGCTAGGGTTAGGGAGTAGGCGTAGGCGACTCCCTAGACTCGTTAGTGGAGTAGGCGAGGTACGGTCGGCGGCATATTAGATAGTACCAGGTACGTTCCGTGTATACCGACCGTACCCAGGGTACGTTCCGGCAGTACCCTGGGGCTGGGGGACATGATAGACCCTCTCAGCGCAAGTGCGGTAACATGCACTGCAAATGAAAGGGACTGGCACCTTTTATTCCATCTCTTTGTCCGAATACAACGACTACTTTATCATTCTGTGTTTTTAAAACAAGCTCTATTGGATAGCTTGAATGTCTTCATCTATATCTGTCGCGAGGTAAGTTATTGTCATATTGATAAATAAGACCACCTGCCCGGTTTACAAACATACACAGCAATACACTGCCATTTGATATATAAATAGCCTCCCACAAATTTCATAAGTATATTTGATTTACCTCACATTATGCTTAATATACAACACAATTTTATAGTCGTGAATGAGTGTAATTATATCTAAGTTATTTTTATTAATAATTAATTTCATTACGTTCAGATGCAGATTAATTTAGTACAAATTTATTCACGTGATTGTCGATTTCGTAGAGGTTGCAAAACAAGACCGGCCCAATAGCAGCGCGCAGTGATTGTTATGAGACTGTGGAGAACATGTCATTTCTCAGAGGATGAACATGCTTTAGCTGCTGTCTTTAAAATTCGTTTCCAGGTATTAATAAGATAATGTTTGTTGTTGTTATTTATTAATCCTCCTGTTACACAGAGGTCATGGTCACAGGCACTTGGAACGTGCTCATAAAAAAATTAATGTAAATAAACACGAAATCGGAATGTACCAAACCGCAAAGTCTTATGTTTGCTCTACTGACTATTTCCCGCGCGATATCTCGTGAAATCCTGCAGAAATGTCCTCTCCGTGAAAATGTAAAGAGGACGAGATGTTTGTTTATACACAGAGGTAATGGGGCGCATTGCATGCCGGATGAGCTGCTGCCGGCCTCCGAGGCTCCGTTTTCGAGGCCCGCCAAGCCAAGCCAATGCGCGCGGGCATGAGTCACACACACACGGCTACAGTGATCGATCGAAAGTAGCGCCGTTAGAATTTATCAATGATTACGTCCTCTTTAGCATTTTCACGGAGAGACCATTTCCATGCGGATTTCACGTGATACTCTGGCGGAGTAGCTAGGTAAGAAAAAGGCCATCGTTATAATTCGAACAAGTGAACATTTATAGCACATAGATACCAAGATGGAAGCTGTTGGATGTGTATTTGTGCTGTGAAGAGTGATGAAAATGAAGCGAGGCGTTGAGCAAATTTTTCAATCGCGCTTTCCTACCTGCTCTCTATCATGTTGTTTTGTGCACGCAGAACACAGGCGGGCGGCGTGCGGTGGTACTTGTCTGTTGCAGATAGGCATTTGACCGGCATTTACAGGTGATTATAGGCGAAATAGAGTAGAGAAACATTAAGACTCGGTTCATTTCGTGTTTATTTACCATTATTTTTTTACTTGATACTGTACCAAAGTGCCTGTGCTGGTAACTATCTGATATGGTTAGGGTTTAGGGTTAGGGAGTAGGCGTAGGCAACTCCCTAGACCGTTATGTGAGTGCGAGGTACGGTCCGGCATATTAGATACCGCCGTAGTACACAGCTAGGCACAGCATATAAATCACGTGATTTATATGCTCTGGTACCAGGTAGTTCCGGTATACCGGACCGTACCCAGGGTACGTTCCGGCAGTACCGCTGGGGACATAGACCCCTCTCAGTGTTACTGTTAGCTTCAATGTGTTTCCTCATGTCATAGTAAAAAATATTTTTGTTTTTGTTTTGCTTAACAACGGAGTGTCTGTGGCTAGATTACTGGAGGAGACTCAGACAGGAATCTGGAGAGGGCTGTTTTGATGATGGCATCTATCTCTGGTGTTAGATTCTTTGTTTTCCCCAGTAAGGGTGGCAATGTCAATTGTCACGATGGTTGTTGGTCGGTGTTAGTCTTCACATAGCTCTATTGGCTGCAGCTGGCCAGCGGCACTGTACGAGGGCTATGCTACTAGAGCTAGCTAGTCTTCACATACCCCAGATCGATCGTGTTGGTCATCTTCTCCCTGCTAACACCTGAGTTGCGTGAGCATGGAAATCTTGTCGTCCACGGTCTCATTGGCAGTCCACAGTCGGAGAGGGACTATCGCGTTGCCTGATCTTGAACAATGTGGTCTTTCTATGTTACATGTGTACATCTAGATAAAAAGATATACGGTCATAAGGTTATATGTTTTTATTGGTTCAAATTATGACTTATTAATGTTGAATATACTAACGCGAATAGAATGAAAATAGTGGAGTTCTTACTATGTGTAATACTTNGCACGTAACTGTTGGCATAAGTGACTGCAACTTACGGACTGACTTGGTTGCGTATTTCTCAGACCCGACAACCCGATAGAGTATCTGGCAAGCTACCTGACGAAGAACAAGGGGCAGTATGACGGATCAGCTGCAAGCTCCTCGTAAACCTGCGTCGCCCGAATCAGAGTGACGGCGAGGGCGTCTGTCGCCTGCCTGCCTGCCTGCGCGGCCAGCCCTTCACATCACTCTCTCACTGTGCGTATATAATAGATCTCTTATCCAAGGCTGCGCTGGAAAAGCGGCAACATTCACATCTTTCTCATATCCCGTTTGGCAGAGTACGTCTTTTCGATT